CACAGTGAGCTTGCTCAGCATTGCTCTGTCCCAGGTATGAGCAAGAAAATGTCCTTGTCACTAGCGTGAGTCATTGCTGAGGAATGAGCAGCGATCCTTACACTGCAGGGGATGAGGGTGTGCGACCAGCCTTCTTATTTGGGACTGTGTTCTTGGGCTGAGCATCAGTTCTGGCAATTTTCATCAACTGCAGCTCCAAATGTATTTGAAAGAGGCTTAAAATAGTTTAATCCTGGCTTTATATTCAGACTCCTTTTTCCCCTAGAAATATATTGTGCTGACCTTGGGTTTTTTAACACACATCATTAAAAGAATTCAAAATTTACCTGTGATGTCTTTACTTTGAACCTAAGAAGAGACTCCTGGTTATAAGGTTTTATAATATTGGGTTGTGAGATAAAGGGCTGATCTGTGCACACACAAAGGAGCACAGGGATGTAATAGGCAGGAAAATCCCAGAACACAGACAGAGAATTAGAGTCCTGTCCTGCCTTCTCCTAGGGTTGTCATGGGGCAGCCATCAGCCATGAGCTGGGGTGGGCATCCATCACAGTGTGTCAGTGACGGAGGCACCTGCCCATCACCTTGTAGACCAAGGGGGATTACTCCTTGCAGGACTTCAGGGATCACTGTGGGATGCAGAGGAGAGTGTTTGGGGATTATATGGGATTTATGGGATATTTGGGAGACAGCTATTGAGGCTGCTGTATGTATGAGTTGGATGCTGGGAAGATCAGATGGTGACAAGTTGGCTATTAGAGGGATCAAAAGGTTCAATGCAGCTGGGTCCAACCCAGCAGCATAGGGCCTGGGCTCAGCTGAGACCAGGTTGTATGTATGTCTGTCTCTGCGTAAAACTGGTGGAAAAGAGGGCAGCCTCACCTCTATTGGGCTACCACTGCTGACTCTGTGACACAGAACAAAAATGCTGATGGAACAGCTGGTGTGGTGAGAGAACATGTCCTAACTTTTTGTTGGAATTCTTTTTTTTAAAGAAGGCATCATTCTCTGATGTTTTTTCTCTTGGCTAGGATCCTGGTAAATTCTTTCTATGCCACCTGTAAGTTCAGTGCCCATAGCAACCAACTATGCATTGTGGTTGCTTAAACTAATGTTGTGTATCGGCATATCCTGAAACATCAATCACTTTGACTGGTGGACAGAACATTCAAAGAGAAAAATAACTTTGTGGCTTTTGTGCCATTCTGTCATCCCAACATAGAGATTGCAACATTTATTAATCATTCACCTTGTATTTGTAGCTGCTTAAGAATAATTACAAACAAATTTTATAATCATTCTTGGGCACAGTAATAACCTTTCTTTTTCTGAAGTGTTTCTGTAAAGCGTAGGACAGAATAATGTTCATAGGTCTAATTCTGCAGAGTGAAAGCAATGAGGATGTAAAGCTACTGAAACTCATGTGTTTGTCTGGAAGGACTGGGCTAACTACCTGACATTTTTGCATTAATGGAGGTTTCTTAGTTAAATTAGATTTCAGAGGCAACATTGTGAATATTATTTGATTTTCTCTGTCCTTGTCACCAGGACAGGTTCTTTGGGGATCCCTGGCAGTGACTGGCTGCAGGGCCGTGGTTCTAATTAGAGATTTATTATTACATAAGAAAGAAACAAGCAGCATAGCTCATCATCTACAGTTTCTAGCACTTGGCTTACATTTGCACTGAATTTTTAGAAGTCTGAGTTCCAACGTGCTTTTTAGGTCATTTAGGAAGATGCATTGCAGGTCAGGTCACATTCAGTCAACACACAACACTTGGGGCACAAGTCTTACAGTGAGTGGAAATGGGTAAGAGCAGAATAAAGAAGATCGTGTGGACATCACAAAGAGCAATGTAAAGAGGGGCTTGTCCACTGGCAGCTTCTCTAAACTATGAACAAACAGATTTAATTCACTTCATTTTTTGATCCAGTGGAGAAGTAGAACGGGGTGACTTCCCTTAGGGCGATTTCTTCTTAAAATGTACAGAAATAGAGGTTTTAAGTGGATCTTTAAATTCAGTCACCTCAGTGCATCTCTAGTCAGGATCACTCTTACACTCACTGTCCTCCATCTTGCTGTTCATTTGAAGCATTTGCTGTTAGCTATCTTCAGGCTGCAGAGGGAACCAGCTTAACTTCAGAGAGCAACAAAGGTGGTAAATGTGCTCTAGCCAAGGATGCATCTTCAAAACTGCCGGATTAAACATGGCCTAAGGGAGTTTTGTCCTTGTTCATGGATGGTGTGGTTTCATCTGCTGCAGTAACTTTTCTAGCAGATTCACTTGTAGCACATTTGGAAATGATGTACAGACCCTGACCATATTCTAAAATACTGTTGACGTATCAACAGAGAATATGCAGAATTCTTTTGTTCAAGTGTATGGTGTGGATCCAGCAGCTTCACTGCACATAACAAATGGCAGGACATGCTTCTTTCAACAGCTGTAGAAAACTGATTGAAGCTGGTCCTTTTCACCTGCCTGCCTCGCCAGGGAATTAAAGTTTCAGTCTGCCTTTTGTGTGTTTTTAAATATGCATGACCCAAACAAGGGACCTGTTGAGAGGCTCTGATGCACTTGCATGTGAAACCCAGTATTCTGATCTTTTCCTTCTGATGTTTCAGTGCTTCCAGATGTGATGAATCTACCTCTGAAATAACCGTAATTTCTTCTTGAGTAAAATTGAGTTTAATAGGTAAACTTTGCAGCTGGCTGTTAGAAGATGCTGATTCAAGTTGACCACACTGAGCGGATCACCCAGGGGGTGGTGATGCACTGGAACAGGCTGCCCAAGGAGGTTGTGGATGCCCCATCCCTGGAGGCATTCAAGGCCAGGCTGGACGTGCCTCTGGCAGCCTGTTCTGCTGGTTGGTGTCCCTGCACATAGCAGGGGGTTGAAACCAGACGATCATTGTGGTCCTTTTCAACCCAGGCCGTTCCGTGAGTCTGTGATCACCTCATCATCATTTGCTTTAATTTCCCTGTTTGTGATGCAGAAAATATAGAGCTCACCCTCTTGTATGCAGCTCTGGGAGCTTTGTTCTGGGTAGCTTATTTAGAAACCTTTGTGTAGTGTAAACATTTTGGAATGTGGTGAAGTCCTGCTCCACATTCATAGGTGGGGATTTCTGAACAAGGGACATCCATAAATTCTAGATACATCCCAAGCAAGTTTTTGAGCTAGGAAAGATACCATGATCAACCAGATGTGCACGTATAATAAGAAGTATGTTAAAAGCAATAGTCTGATGAAGAGTTAATAAGATGTACAAGACATAAATGCTTCTTTATCAGAATAATCTAGTACTAAGCTGTTCAGTGCTTAACACAATTCTTATGATGATGTGGAAGTTTGTGTACAGCTTTGATATTCCAAGAACATTTGCACATCCTGTAATGACAAACTGCCTTTTCAGCTTCTGAGACACGAATGACTGCAAGGTGAGTGAGACACTCAAGTAGCCCAAAGAACTTTTCACAGAAGCCTTTTTTTTCATATGGGGATCTCAGGAAGACTGCACCTTTTCTGGGTTGCTCTTTAGAAACCCAAGACACAAAACTCTCTTGAGAGAGACCATTATAATATGCTACCGTTGTAAAATACTCTGATGGATGGCATAGGGTTTTTTTTTTTTCCTCCTCTCTTGTGATAGTTGAACTTTAGATAACTTATTTTGAATATGGCTATTTAAAGTCTCTGTTCTGTTCCTGTCATTTTTGAAGATGTGAAGAAGGAGAGCAAAAGGAAAGGGAGAACAGAGCTGAGAAGAAGTTGTTGTATTTGTTTTTGCAAGAATTAACGTAATCTATGAGAAAAAACATCTTCAGACACTGCAACTACAGACAGCATTTAGTCTCCAATTCTATTTTGCCCTGAGACAGCCAGCAAAATAGAAACAGCAACACAGGATAAATCACTGCTGGCAGAACTTAACAGTTATGCAATGTCCAGCGCACCATGCACCTATTTTTAGATCAGCTTTATACTAGCAGAATTTAGATTATGAAATCTGAAAAGAATGTCTAGGCAAAGGCTGAGGGCAAAGAAAATATTGGGAAGAGCATCCGTGTAAAAATGGTTAGTACAGAGATATGCTTGTAAAAACAGCTTTGGCAATAGTGCTGTCCATTCTAGAGTGTTGGCTTGATCAGGCATGGTATTGCAGATCCGTTTTTTTCATCAGTATTCCTTGAATTTCTAATCCAAAGTTGCTTTTCAAAGAGTTAACTCTGGCCAGATAGTGGTATGTGGTTTACATAAAGCTCAGCTTCTCCACTGTTTGCACTGCACTTTGTGTTTACCGGCTCTGGAATGAAGTAGGCCACAGCTCCCCCCATTGGAGTACCAGGTCAAACGTAAAGAACTGTGTTAGATGGAGTGCTCTGCAAAGCTGGACGAGCTACAGAGAGGCTCTTCAGCCTTCCTCAGTCACCCTAGACTTAATGAACCTAATGGTATTTAAACTGGTGTGTGCTCCATGTATGTTCTTGCAGATCTTTGGTAAATTAGGACTATGTGTGCTGTTTGCTTCAGATCAAAGTTCAGACTAAATATTTTGCTCTGTTCGCAGGAGTACATAATAGGTTATGTTTGATGAGTTAAAGATATGTTTGCAACACACATATAACTGTTTTGGAAATGTGTGTTAGTGGATTAGATGTGCATACTCTGTTCTTCTTCCAAGATCAGATTTGCATCTTTTCTCCTTCTGATTTGACTTTATCCCCTTAGTCCCCGTGTTGTAATTCTACATTAGCTTGTGCAAGTGAGTGTCATTTTGTTTCCAGAGGTTTTGCTCAATTCAGAAGAGGTAGTGAATGGGAAATATCTGACCTCTCAGCCTTTGGATTCCAGAATATAAAACAATCTCTGCATAGCTACTGTATCTTTGGGATTCCTTGTAAAATTTTGGCAGTTTTCAATGTGCCTTGAAGTGAATTAGCGCTCTGGTTATTGTACGGCCTGTATTGATCTTTTTCCCCACATCTTTCTTCCAGGTAACAATCTTGATGCTATCCATGACATAACTGTGGCATACCCCCAAAACATTCCTCAGACGGAGAAGCACCTTTTGAATGGAAACTTCCCAAAGGAGATTCACTTTCATGTCCAGAGATACCCTGTAGAGACAGTGCCCACTTCTAAGGAGGAGCTGCAGCTTTGGTGCCAGAAGCGTTGGGAAGAGAAAGAGGAGAGACTTCGACGCTTCTATGAAGGTGGAAAGTGCTTTGATGAGACGGGGCAAAGCTTTATTCCCCCATGTAAGTCTGAGCTCAGGGTCCTGGCAGTCAAGTGCATCTCACTCCTGTATTGGACGCTGTTCCCAATGGGTACGTTTGCACTGCTGTACCTGTACAGCTTTGCACGATGGTATTTTGCAGCCGTGATAATCATTTTTGTTGTGCAGCAAAAGGTATTTGGTGGGCTGGAACTAATTGAACTTGCTTGTCATCAATATTTTAAAAAGCAACAGAAACTTAACGACACAAAAATTAAAGAGAAGTAGTTTCTTGCGTAAAGAAGGGCATAATAATGTGTGGCTTTGGGACGTACTGCAAATTTTATGGACAGGAGAGAATTTTTGCATGAGAATTGTCTTTTACTATTGTCATTGTTTGCTAGACATTTGCACTTAATTCTGTGAACAGAAAGAAAGCCGTTAGTTATCACAGCGTGTGAAAATGATAGTTTTTATCTCTGAATGTAATTTCAGCATTGCTCTTGCGAGCAGCTAGCAACTGCATTCTGCTGTAATTAAGAAACACGTTGCTGGATTATTGAACAATCAAAGGGATGTTAATAAATATGACGTGCACTGAAAGTCCATGTACAAATCCCAGCTGTCCGGCTAAGAAAGACAGATGTGTTACTTCTGTACAATCACGTTGTCATGAAGCACCGGATTGGAAAAGCTGCTATGTTTAACAGTGGTTTGATGGTAGGTGGAAGCTGGAAGAGGATGTTCCATTTCTTTTTGTTGCTGTTTCAAATAGTCACACTTACTTAAAAATGCTTTGACTTCAGCTTCTTCAAACACTACTGAACCTAGCACGCTATTCAACCTGCTCTGCCTCAGTCAGTCAGAACTTAAAGGGTTTTTAGGCCTGCCAGTGTTGTGTTGTGGTCTGAGAAACAGTGCTGGCTTCGCCTCCAGTTAAGTCTTTGCTGATTATTTAATAGATCTATGCAGCTAGGTTTTGATTTTTCACTGTTGGTGCTGGTTTGGTGTCCCTCTTAGCTGTGGGAGATGTGTTCCTGCTGTAGTACGTAGAGCTGCAGGATAGGGGAGCTGGCTTTTGTTGTTTTATTAGTGGGTTTTTTTTCTGGTAGAGGCAATAATATGTGTCTGTCTCTGGAGTAGCAGGTAAATGGTTTTTCAAAGAGGTCTCATTATAGACACTATTCGATGATTTTTTAAAAAAAATTTTTTTATTTTTGGAGAAGGCAAGGTATCTTTTTTTGTTTTTTGAAGGCTTTTTTGGTTTATTCTCACGTTACTTCTGTAGACATTTCAGTTGTCCAAATGCATAAAGAAGAAAATTGCCTTTTCTGTGCAAGCCAGCCAGACCTGTTGGAATGTATCCAATGCAATGGTCGTCTTTCTGTGAGTATTAGAAAAGGTGGGTTTCAGACCATGACAGCACAGGGAAACTGAGTTTCAGCTTGTTTTTGCAGAATTATCTTGCATTGCCTGACTGCATCACTTCTTTTCCATACTTCTTCACTTTTAAGCTTTTATTATTTTGGGAGGCTCCCACTGTAACATGCTTCCTTCTTTTCATGATATTGAGGCTTTCTAAATATCATGAAATCCAAATTAAACTCTGAAAATGCACTTTGCAAGTGTAATGAATGTAATATCTACAATAAAAGGTACAAACATTGCCAGCACTTAGGAGACACTTCAGGTTAGACTTGTTCAGCCTCAGCAGTGTTAGATCACTTGGTCAAATGTATTGCTGCAGAACTTCCTGGACTTTCTGAACATTTGTTGTTTGTTGCATGGAGACTTAATTGAGCTAAACCAAAAGAGCCTGACTGTATGTTGAGTTGTTCTGCTGTGAAATACGAACTGCCTATTTCAAGCACTGGGTCAGCACTGTAGGTACATTTGTTTCTTCTACAACACTGAACATGTTGTCTCCTGTGTTTCTATCAAAGGCCATTTCTGAATGAATCACCAGCCTCTATTTGACTGTCCCTCGCAAGGTGACAAGTATTTTTTAATCCGTGCTTATAATAACTGTTTATTATGCACAAAGTACTTGAAGCCATCGGTTTTATTCTAATTTTTTAATCCTTTTTTTCTTAAAAGATAAATAAAAGTAGGTTTATATTTAGGATTATGTTTCTAAATGATTTTTCATGTTTATATGGTAGTCCCTAAAGTCGGGTAACTGTTGTTTTGTTGCAGTTCTTCTGTGGTGCGGTGATGTTCCTTAATGTCATTTTGTGATATCAAAGGCATTTAGACAAAAGCCTAGATCTGCATAGCTGGTGTTTTTCCCTTAGTATTCTGCTTTGGTGCAGTTCCTTGTATGTCCACATAACAGTCACCACAAGGGAAAAACTAAAATTGGCATTTATAGATAAGCAGAGGATACCAAAAGTCTTTGAGTCTGTCCTGAGCCACGGCTGTGCTTTCACACCAGGACTAGCCATGGCTGGGGCACACCAACAGCCTTAGAAGTCTTGGGGAATGACTTCAGAGGGCAGCTGTGACATAAATACCAGCTACACTTTTTCAGTCATTCGGAGAACTTGGTGACATCATAAAGCATACCAGAAACATCAGTGTGAGTCCTGGTCATGCAGCAGGGAAAGATTTCTAGAGTATTTTGTATCTGTGTTTGATTAGAGTCCAGTTCTGAAAATGAAATATAATGCGGTTCAGAGATGACCCTTACAAGTTTTCTGTCCGGCTGGAGCCAAACGTGTAACTAATGTAATGTGGGAAATGTCCTGCAAATCTGTAATTCATCCTCCTCTCCCGTGGATTCAGAGTGAGCAGAAATAATCTTCATCTTGTTAGCTCTAAATGCTGCATTTGCACTGCCTGGCTGCATACAGTAGGAGAGCCCATGGTAAGGGAGGGATCCTCCTCGCAGGGAAGGCTCTTGACTTTGAGACAGGCAGGACTTTTTGGACGCCGTGCCTCATTTTTCAATTAGAAATGCAAGACAAAAAAAAAATTAGCTTTTGTGTTTAAAAAGTCGCTAAAGTGATGAGGAAGATCCTTCTGTGTATGTTCTTTTCCTATTCGGTCAAAAAGAGCTTTTACTCGAAAGGTTTAATATGCATATTTTGGGGAGAATACTTTGTTCTTATTCACCATTTCCTTTTTCAGACTCCACTAAGACACGCTGGTGAATCACTTGAAGTGTTTTCAGTGCTGTTAGATTAAAGGTGCTAGTACTCCAGGAATCACACATCTACCTTTTGTGGACCTCATATTGGCACCCAGGTTTATCTTACTGATTAGCCCAGTTTCTCATGGCTTGTGTCCTCTCACAGTCCCGGTAGACAGAGCACGTCGTTCAACCACGACTGCTCCTACTATGGGGCCTCCATCTCTGCTGTCTTCCTTATGTTATTTGAGAAACACGACTTGCTTTTCCTGCCTTTGGAGATACTCTTCGTTTGTTCCTTCAAATGTTTCCTCAAATGTGCTGTGGGTTTCTTTCTCTTTGCTCCGAACTGAAAGTTGAAGTCCTCTCATCTGTGTTTGTGCTGAAACTCTTCTGGCTAACAGAACATCAAACCAAGACATTTCTCTTGTGTTCAAAGCTGTGGGGCTCCAAGCTGGTCTGTAAGGTGTTGTCTTGATCATACGAAATGTAGTTTCTAGCTCTGTGCGTTGCGTACATCTCTGTTGTTTAAAAAAGATGAGTGTTTTTATAACTTGATTTTATATGTACATTGTATGAAAGAAAATGCCAGGATACTACAAACCTACAGAAAGCCTTAGTTTTCAAAGTTCATTGGTTATATTAGGGTATTTTAACCATGTATCAGTTACTCTACAGCAACAATAAAGTCTTGAAGCATTGCACGTGTTTAACTTCACTGTTTTCATTTTACTGTGTCGCATATTTGGTATGCATCCTTAAGGAGCCTTGTCTTCACTCACGCTGATGTCTTGATCTGCAGGTACTCGGTTGCTGGTTTATGGCTGTTACGGTTGTTGAGGTGACATTTCCCTTCTGTTCCTAGGAAGTGGAGAAGATTGTACACTCCCTGCTGTTCCCATAAAGTGATGCAGAAGCCCTTGGGCAGGCCGGAGCTATAGCTCAGTATTAGCCTGGCTTGGTTTCTTAGCCAATATTGCTCAAGAATTGGCTTGTAAAAGCACGTTAAGTATTGATATGTAGATAATTGCTCACCTATTACCATCAGTGTAATTAGACAAAAAGTAGTTTGTGGCAAGCTCCACTTACTTATAGGACCTGTTTTTATATGGCTTTGCAGGCTCAGTGTGATTTGTTTCTCCATTGTCTGGAAACTAATTTGGTGTGGAAGGGTAAGAGCTCTGTTTCTTAGGAGTTGCTGTGGTCCTTTTATCAAACAGAGTAACAAGGGTAATGACTTTAATGTGGCTGCTTCATTGTGGTCAGAAAGACTGTAATAAACAGAGACTTTGGTAGCTGTTTTTACATCTGGAGATGATGTTTGGGATTTCTGTGTGTGCTCTGAGCATTCAAATCAGTCTCCAGAAGTGGAAGTGTGTTCTACTCTGTACTGAGTGGCTTGTTTCTCTGAAAAGGCTGTTGTCACTTCCTTTTTTGTTTCCTCGGGGCTCAAATATGCACTGAACAAAATATTGTATATCTTACCTGGCATTAAAGAAAATAGTAGTAAAGAAAGCTAAAGCTCTCACCTTCTGTCTGCCCTCAGCACACCCTGATTGGTTCAGTACAACTGGCAGAAGGTTCAGTTTTGTTTCGTGAGGACTGTGAATCAGATGGCAAGTTACCTCGACCAGAAATTATTAGCACAGTCGGTGCTTATAATGTGCTCGAGTGACTCTCGTCTTAGAGTGCAGTTGGAAGGGAACGGTTGTGCTGAGGCACAGCAGAGGCAGAGGGCTCATGTCTGTCCTTGCTGAACCTCTCAAGAGTCCCGGCTCAGGGTGTCTCGATCTACACTCCAAATGCCTACCCTAGCTTTTAATTAAAAAGCTGAAGCTCTCAGGCTTGCTGTGACTCTTCTGCAGCCACAGCCAGAACCACGACTGTACAGCAGCTTAAAAGCCCACCGGGGCACTCAACAAGCCTTTCATGAAGCAAAGAGCAGTAATGGAGACAGGAGCCCAGCCGGAAGCGTATCATCTGTTGTCTTCATTTCCACACCAAGGTTATCTGCAGAGCGTCTGTCTCGGGGCTGCAGCAGAGCTGCTTGGGCCCTGATGCTGGGTGAGGGCAAACCTGACCTTGCAGTCACTCGATGGTGACATGGAGTGTGTGCCTTCTCCAGCCTGCTCTGGATGGATGCCGACCTCTCAGGAAGGTTTGTCTTTTATATCTTTCCATGCAGAAAGAGGAGGATCTTTGCCATAAGCCCCAAAATGCAAACATAAGGAAGTGTGTAGGCATGATCACAGCAAGGGCTTGGATCTGCCTCTATGTGAGGTGTGAAGGTTAAAGGCAGTCTCTCAGCTTTCTACCACAGCTAATGACGGAAAGTGCTACGTGAGAGAGTGCTTAATTAGGGATTAATGAGAAAGGAGCCTGTGGTTTTATTATCTGTTGGATATGAGCTCTGTGGATGAGCAGGAGAGCTTGCATTAGCTGCTTCCTGCAGAGTCTTCACATAAGAAAAATCCTTAGCAGACCCAGAGGTGGAGGGAGCAGTGCTCAGCATCCCCCTCTGCAGGCTCTGGCAGACCCCAGACCTGTGGTCCTGTGGATTTCTGTCAGTAAGGAGACACTACATTATTTTGTAGAACCTCTTTGAGGGTCAAAGGAGCTCCAGCTCCATGACAGCAGCATGCCCTTGTGTTTCAGCACACATGTCCCTTTTTCTCAGCCTGTTGGCAACATGTCAGGAGAGGGCTGGGCCAGGAACAAAAGCAGAGTTCTTTGCTTCGTTGTAGGACCATGCCTCCTCTCCTTTCCGTGATGAAGCTGCCAGCAAGAAACACAGGTGACTGAAAGAGGTTGGATCACCGGCTGTTAGGTAAAGACAAGGATAACGCCAGGGAGGTAAAACACTTAATCTTTAATTAGCTCTGTTGTTCTAAGCTGTTGCATAAAAACTATTTAAGTTCTAATAGGACATAATGTATGCTTGCACAGTAAAAACAACAAATATAGGCAGAACAGTCCTGGTCATAAGTATCCCTCAATCCACCACAGCAGACCTCTCTGCCATCATTGTGGAGCTCATGGCCAGCCTGGCTGAGCAGTGCCAAACAAACAGCCAGCACCAAATGCATTTAATGGCAGCAGCTCCTCCTCTTTCTAAACAATATGTGCAAACATATCTTTCCGTCCCCTGGGGCTTTCATTGTTTTATGATTAGCAGGTCCCTGAATGTTCCTTGAGGAGAGACATCAAGACAAACCCACTGCAGGCCTTCCCCAGTCCATGGGGCTCTTGCTGCATCTGCTACAAGGAGACAGAGGCCAAGGGCTGAATCACTGTGTAAAAACATCGTTTATGTAAGTGTTTCTCGTGTCTATTAATTCTGTGCTTACTTCTGTATTTTGAATGTTTTAATGATTATTCTGCATTTTGCCATTCAGTTGTTGCAGTAACATCTGGATCCTAAAGTTGTCAGTCCTGATTTTTGTAACATCACAGCCCAACTCCATTAGCCTTGTTATTTGATTAAAAAGCTCATGAACTTTTCAAGCTTTCTGTATTGACACAACATGCTGTTAGGTGCTCTCTTTGCTTTATTAACAAAACCAGGCACCTTTTCTGAACAAAACCAGGTTTCTTTTCTAGCTCTATACCATTGTACACCTAGGTATGAAGTCCTTTGCTTACTTCTGTGTCCAAGGGAAGTCAGTTGATGTGATCTTTCTAGGTTTCAGCGATGTGTATGATGCTGTTCCTCACAGTTTCATTCTGGACAAAGCCCAGCATACAACTAGACAAAGGCATGATGTGATAGGTGAGCAGCTGGCTGATGGGTCAGGCCCAAAGGTTTGTAATAAATGGGGTTACATCAGGCTGGCGGCCAGTCACTGGTGGGTCACACAGGGCTTCATTTCAGGGCCAGTTCTCTTGAGTGTTTTCAGAAATTATTTGGATACAGCACTTCAAATTAAACAAGCACCAGTGTTGGATTCTCAACCTGGGATGAGGCAACGCTGGTTATACGAACAGACCAGGCTCAGGCCTGACCAGAGCTCAGGGAGTGTTGGAACAGTGATCTCAGCCATAGGGATTGGGTTTTGAGTGGTGCTATGTGGGGTCAGTGATTCTTGTAGGTCCCTTCCAACTTGGTTCTGTGGTTCGGTTGTCTCCTGATTGGCCAAATGCTCTCACATGCAATTAAGAAACAAATCCTTTTTTTTTTTTTTTTTTTTTTTTTAAATCTAGGCCTTTCTATATCCTGCTTGGTCTTATTTGTATTCATTCCCTTATTATTGCTAAAAGCCTTCATACTGAAAACAGAGATTTCAGTTGTCAGCAGCAAAAAAAAAACCAACCACCACATGGCAAACACCACTGTAACACCAAAACTTCCCAGCCCTCTTTCTTCTTTGCCTCTAATTGCAGATCATGCCCATTTCAGATTTTAAAATATGTCTAACTGAAACTTTACCCAATACAAGTGGGTGCAACAAGTCAGAGACACTGAAGACATTCATCGTTAAGGTTGGAAAAGACCTCTAAGGTCATCTAGTCCAACCATCCACCTACCAGTATTGCCCACTGAAACGTGTCCCTTAGTTCTACATTTACACCTTGAACATATCCAGGGACGGTGACTCCACCACCTCCCAGGGCAGCCCGTTCCAGTGCCTGACCGCTCTTTCAGAGAAGTTGTTTTTCCCAACACCCAACCTAAGCCTCCCCTGGCACAACTTAAGGCCATTCCCTCATCCTATCACTGTTACATGGGAGAAGAAACCGACCCCCACCTCGCCACAACCTCCTTCCAGGCAGTTGCAGAGGGCGATAAGGTCTCCCCTGAGCCTCCTCTTTTCCAGACAAACTGCTCCAGACAAGATGCTGCCTATTAGAGGCATTTATATAATTGAAGTGGTCTATATTTATCAGAAGTGCATGAAGTTCCCACCTCAAGGGTTGGATGCCCAGCAACTTGGAAAACATTAGCTTTCCTAATGAATCATCAGGGAGAAGAACCTAAAAATATGAGTGACTCTAAGAGGATGTGTCCTGGAGCTCAGGGAGTCAAAGTCAGGTAGCACCAAGTGCCATCCTGGCACTGGCTATAGTTGCGGATGCTACGCTCAGAAACTCCTTGCCTGTGAGAGCAGAACCTGTGCTGGATCCTCATGTCAGACTTCAGCTGTGATGTTTGATGTTGAGCCAGTGTTGAGCTAAAGAGAAAGTCTCCTGACCCACACAGGGGTCTGCTGACAATGTTTTGAGGACCACTATTGCTGCTTCATCTTGAAACTGAAAGCCAACACGGATTCAGCTTTGCCTGTGAGATCCTACTGCGTATGGCTGGAGACAGCAAGGTGATCAGACAGTCTGAGGGGCACTTCTGCTGTTGTGCATGAACTGAAGTGGTTAAGAAGAGATATCTTAGGCAAATAGAACAGCTGGAGGAGAATGATGAATAGTCTCTTGTTTGTTTTTTACTGTTGTAAGTGGTTATGTTTCCCCACCGTACCTGAGAACACAGCTTAGTTTGGGCAGAGTGGTCCTCCCTCTGCAGGCCCTATGTTGATTTTGTGCAGTGTCTAGTATGTGACAACTGTCTTTTTAAGCTCTTAATCACTATGTCCTGGATCACAGTTCTGCCTTCCCTTATTCTAAATGGAAGACCTGCCTGCTGGAGGCAGACACTGGCCGTTCAGCTGTCCTGCTGCATGTTCTTCTCAATGTATTGATGGTCCACTTCGGTGACTATCTTGAT